GGCCCCCTGCAGGAAATCATGTGTGATCATCGCCATTTTCTTTTAATGAGCGCTAAACGCCATGACCTCATCTGACATGATTTTCTGTTGGATCGGACTCAAAACCAGGTTCTGCCTGGTCTGGCCTTAAGACTGAGTTTAGCTGGGAGTCTTTAGTCTGCAGAAGTTTGCTGGAGGACAGACAAAACATTTCAACCCCTCCAGAAGACTCTTTCTACTTATTGAAGTATATACCGGTACATACTATTATTGCCAAATTTCAGAAATTAGAATAACATTCCCCATTTAGCGTCAGACACAAATAAAGCAGTGTTCTTTATTCGTGCCTGTAGCTGTAAAATACTGCCCCCCCCCTACAAACAGGTATCTTTTAGAAGTGTTTCTTACTGCATGCTGTGTTTGTTCTACTCTCTGATCACCTTCATAAAGGTCTGTAGGGTTTTCACCCCTCCCCCCACCATCACATCTGCTCCTCCTTGGGATTACAGCACAAATGTTTGAAACACAGAGTCCTGAGAGGAGAGATTATGAGTGTCCTGCCCTCTCCGAGAGGGGCTAACCAATCAGAACACCCAGACACAGGGATTAACCAATCGTACCACAGGAAGGGAGGGCAGAGGGATTAAACCCAAACCAGAGAGGGATTAGGTCAGTGTGGACTGTAGAAAAGTGCTTTGAAATGTATGTTGTTAAAAACTGACTTTACCAGGCTGCAGATTTCTGACAGTTCAGCAGAGATCAGATCTACTTCTGCAAAAAGCTGAAGATTTAAATCAGAACATTTTTCTCCAGGAAGCAGGTTTATTCTTATCTGTTCCTTAATCCTAATCACGAATAAAAGTCACACCTGAAACCTTTGAATCTTATTTATTGACCAATTGGTCAGATCTGAATTTGTTTCGAAGATAAGAGTCTAACTAGCCTTAGAGGCCGGTTAACGTTATAAAGCAAGGAAAACCTGCTGCTCTAAAGTGTTTCTGCATTTTTGATGTCACACGTTTCTGTAGTTTACAGGTCATGGGCGGATTACCAAGTTGTCCAAAGAACTGTAGACGATGGAGGCTGGGGGAGGATGGGACTGGGCGGGGGGGCAAAGAGAAGTGGAACAACCCTAAAGGAGGATCTTAATGCCTGATAAAGAAAAACTCCATCACTGTTTACATGCAACATAGAGCAGAAACTGCTGCTGAACTTTAGCAGAATGGAAAAAGCAACAGAAGAGGCGGAGAAGAAAAAGACATGAGCCAGGGGTGGAGGAGGTGGAAAAGGTGGAGGTGTGTGCAATAATCCCAACTAATTCACTTAGGGCATTGCTGAAGGGAGGCTAAGAGGATTGGGTCAGTCCGAGCATCAGATCAACCAAAATAACCAAGATGGAGGAGAGGAGAGGAGGTCAGACTGAACCCCACTGCAGGACACTCCCCTAACTCTGGACCTGTTTCTGTGTCAGTCGGTAAAACCAGAACCCGTCTTAATGAGCATCCGTTCACACATGTGTAAACAATAAACCACTTTAATACTTCACACAGCTAAAACAGATCATCTTTTTTCCATCCAACAGGTGAAATCGATGCTAAACGCTAACACAGCTAGAAATAACACAGATGACCAAAACATATCTAAATCAAAGCAAATGATCGAGCTAAATGTGGCTTAAAATGATGATAAATATTTGAGGAGGAGGACGGAGTCTACAGTTCTTTCATGTCAAACCAAATGTCCTCTTTACACAATGAAAAGGCTTGAATTTGTATTTAAACAGCATGAAGAGGACAGACCCGTGGGTCCGTTAGCATCCATCGCACAGCGCCGCCTCCAGGTTGGTCCAATCCTACAAAACTCAGAGAATTATTCAAACAGCCTACAAACACGTTATCAACAATCAGCAGAAAAAAGTCTAAGTCACACTCTTCAACGCTCCCATCAAGGACTTCATCCTTCAGGCTCTAGAGGACCTGGAATTTCCAGGAGTTTTGGTCCTTGTGGTCCAGGCAGTCCATTGTAGTGAAGCCCAGTTTCCAGGCCTGCTGGTCCTTGTAGTCCAGGCAGTCCACAGTGGTGAAGCCCAGGGACGAGGCCGTGCTGTAGCCCTGTGAGGAAAGGGACGCCGGCGACTGGCTCAAAGACCCTCCCATAGAGGGGACGGTGATGGGACTGAGAGCACCCCCAGTGCCGGACAGCTGCGAGTGCATGGGGGACAGGTAGGCACTGCAGTCCAGGCCAGTGAAGTACGAGGTGGTGCTGGCATAGCCCTGAGCGTAGGCAGAGGGCTGGCCGTAGCTCATGGGGTACGGCGAAGGTCGCTGCATGCAAGGGGCAGAGGAGGCCAGGGGGTCGGGCAGGGGGGAGATGGCTGGGCTCCAGATTGACACGGCGGTGTTCCCCGTGCTGGAGCTGGGGGCCAGACTGGGTCCAGCTGACTGAGCGGAGGAGGGGCTGTAAGAACCAGAGGGATTGGGAACTGGATCAGGGGCGCTAGGCTCCTGCACCGGTGAGGCCTTCTTCTTAGGAGGACGAGGTTTGGACTGTCCGTTGCTCTGCTGCTGCTGCTGCCGGCATTTGGCACGGCGGTTCTTAAACCAAACCTGAAGGAAGAGAGACAGGAGGACATGTCTGTCTGTCTCTGTGGTAACTTGGTGACTGATAGGTAGCCATAATGTTTTTTTCAGAAGATTATTCTGGTTGCATACCTGCACCCTGGACTCAGGCAGGTTGATCTTCAGGGCCACCTCCTCCCTCATGAAGATGTCCGGGTAGCGCGTCTTGGAGAACAGAGCTTCAAGGATGTCCAGCTGGGTCCGAGTGAAAGTGGTGCGCTCCCTGCGCTGCTTCCGTGGGGTTGCTGCAAAATGTTGGCAACCACAGAAAATTGCCCTTAAATGTCATCACAAGTCAACAAGGTGAGCGTGAAACAGCCGTAAGGTGGAGCACAGTTAAGAGGACAACCAGGAGACACACAACATACAAAAAACCATTGACCCTTTCTACCAACAAGGAGACCAAGACATTTAAACCATGCATGACGTTAACCAGATAGCAGTTTTCCTTTAACAGGAAAAATAGTCAGATCTGCTCGGTATTTTCCTAATCTAATCTGCCTGCTGGATTTACAGCAGAATTAACTCAGAGGGACTTTTTCCTCTCAACACCTTAGTAAGATCAGGTGTGATGTGAGAGAGGAGAGAAAGTTTAAAATATAGAAAAGTTTGTTTGACTGATTTCCAAAGATCTTTAAAAATGGACAGATTATTTAAACTTTTATGTTGATCCTGTGTTTTAACCCAGGATTCATTTGGAAAAGTTTCCTCCTCTCCCTAAATCCACTTTTTCTAATAATGCATTTAAATACAGACAGATCTCCCGTCAACACAAGCAGTAATAAGGTTTTATTCCCTTTGCTTTTTGGCATGGCGCACCAGCCCGCGCGCTTTTACGCATCAGATGGAGCGCGCAGTTCTACAAACAGACGATCTGATCTGAAAAAAAAAAAAAATGTCTCTGCGGTACTTACGGGGATAAGCGACCGTGGTGTGAAGGACGTCCATCCCGGGACCAGGCAGGTTTAACCCGTTCATGGTGTAATGGGGCTGCTTAATGTAGGACATCATCCTTCCAGCAGCCTGTCCAAGTCCTGTCGTGGACTCGGAGGTGGGACGTGCAGCGGCTGTGGGACCTTTGGAGCGAGGCGGGACAGAGCTTGGATCGGCAGCGATTTGTCTTTAAACTGCGCTTGAAGCTGAGCGTCGGCTCAGCGGCGGATGACGGAGGCTCGCGCTGAACATCCGGGCTGAGAGGCGCAGAGACGCAGGTGAAGTTGCCCCCAGGACTCCTCTGCGCCTTCAACTCGCTCTCTGAGCGCTCTGAGTTTCTTCTCCAGGACGCGCTGCTAATTACAGGGAGCAGGTGGCAGCAGCTGACCCCGCCCACACTGACACACACACGCGCGGCCACGCGCGCAAGGTGGCACACAGGCTGCCGAACTGAACCTAAAGTCCCAGAGCCCGGAGTTAACTACCTTTACTGGCACATCATCTTCTGCAGAAAATATGGACAAAAATATGATCATATTTATGCAGTAGCAAAAAAACAAAACAAAAAAAACTTTTAGGATTTATACTAAAACACATAAATTATCAAACATTTAAATTTATAGCTGTCTGTACATTTTGCGTCACGTTTTATCCCTGCTGGGGTAGTGAGGGGTGCTGGTGTCTATCTACAGCTGTCTACAGGTAAGAAGAGGGGTTTTAATTGAAAAAGTTAAGTTAAAAAGTTAATAAGCCTAGTTAACAATTATATTTAAGTTTATAAACTAAAAAATGTCAGTGCCTCTATAAGGTTATGTTGGACCAAATAAAATATCGATCAATCAATCTCTTTATTTAGACACAATTAAAGCATACTGTACTCCAATGTATACAGCCCACCTGTGGCGGCATTATAGAAGCACTTTTGTTATTTTTCTTAATATATTCAGGTAAGCTGGCGTTTCTTGTTATTACATTGACATTAATTTTTGTCATAAAAGTACCCATACTTTTTGAATGTTACAAAGGTAATAAGGTCTTGTTCTGGATTTTAAAGACGCTATTGGTTGGAAATTTGGATTTTCAAATAATTTCACTGAGTGTCCTATAAAGGGTTCTTTATAGGGCTTTTTGAGAACCACAGGAAAACACTCAAAAGCATTGACAATCAACTTTCTCAGGACATATTTGGACTGCTCAGTAAATGCGAATATTTTCAAGACTGGACAATTTGATTGATGGGAGTGCATAAACATTAATTTTTCCGCTGTAAATAATTAAGAGGGAAAGTATTTTTGTTGAATTGGGTTTGTAATGAGTTTTTGTGGTTTTTCTTAAGTTTTTCTGTAAATGAATGACAATGTTTGATTATCCTTTTTGTTCACTGTATGCAGTTTAACGTATTCTTTTAAATTAAAATTTTCTAATAAAAAAGATTAAAAATAAAAAAGGGTTAATCTAACAGTCATGTTTTCGGACTGTGGGAGGAAGCCGGAGTACCTGGAGAGAACCCACACATGCTCAGGGAGAACATGCAGGCTCCATGCAGAAAGACCCAAGTACCCACTGCCACACTGAGCAGCCCTACTTAAGTTGGTAAGTTTAAAAAGATGATTTAAAATGATCTAAAATTATCTAACAGGCAATCCACGACTTCATGTTTCCCTGAGTGGTTACCTGATCCAGAGGCCGTTCTCTTTCAGCCTCTGTCCCCCGTAAAGAGCCTTCCTATCCGACCAGCATGATTTTTTGATCTTGAAGGAGAGGATCTGATTGTTGATTCTCGTTTCCAGAGAAGTGAAGGATCCTTGACTCCAATCTGTGTGTTGTTTTCCAGTGTATGTCTGATTCGGCGGAGGGCGGAACAGGGTTTACCCAGAACTCGGACAGTGTAGATGGATGGAGACGCTGATTGCCACTCAGATTTCCTGCTGTACTTGAACGGGTCTTGGTGAAGATGATTCCCTTGCTCAGAGAGTAATTTCAACATCCTCAAAAAGGAGACTGGATCCAAAGCTCCAGTTTGAATCCCTTGCTCAGTTTAAGACTCAGTTGATCCCTCCTGGGAGAGGAGGTCTGAAAGGGTCCAGTTTGCAGGATGACTTCCTGCCGAGAGGCAAAGACAAAAACAAAGTTAAAACTCAGGGAGACAAGAACTCAGTCTTACTCAGAGAAAGCTCAGCTTGGCAAGAGTACCAAAAACTGGCAAACACTCTGGCGTCAAGGTAGTGGCAATCAGCAGCTTAAGAGCACTCCGTTAACGAGGTAACCGTCAGCAGGTGTGTGAGGAGGCGAACCGGAACCAGGCGCCTCCTGTTGGTGGAAGGAAGACAAACACAAAAACAAACAGACAGGAGCCCTGACACCAGCAATCATTTTTTAAGTCAGTTTACAGTTAACAGTTTAGTAATTGCCAGGTTGGTTTAACTTAAACCTTTAAGTGAAAAAAACTGCCTTAGAAACACAAGTTAAATTACATTTTAAGTCCAAATCCACGTGCTGAATTACCTACTGAAGAAAACTTGCTTTAAATGACAAAGAACTAAGAACACAAAATCAGTCCCCGATTTTTGACAAACCAACCTCTAAGCTGTATTTACTTTCTTCTGTAATGTCCTCACATACTGCCGGCATTCACTTGTTTCTTGTATAATTTACTGTAAATAAGAATTAAAATAATAAAAAAATGCAATAAAAATCAGAGTACCAAATGTGAGACGATACTTTGGATCACTTTGACAATGGCTTATATAAGTGATAAGTTTTCATGGGCAGGACTGGAACATCTGCCAGATCCTAGAACCGTATGTCGCCTGTGCGACCTGCAGGAATGATCCCATCACTGTATCACAGACTGGATGTACGGCCATGAGATATCTATGCAACCAGCAGCTTCATGCTGAGCCACTGACCTGAACACAGTCTATAAAAGAAGGATTTATGCCATCCCAGGTGAGTCAATACCTGGATTTCTGTGAAATTTCATATTCATCACATTATAAAAATCAGGCAGTTAAATATACGTATATATATACATTATATATGTATATATATAAATATATATGTATTATATATATGTACATATATATGTTATATATATATATATGCTCTAATCCATCTATTTCTTGTTCCAGTAGCCAATTTGTCATCAAGTTGCCCTGGTTCCCTAGCAACTGACGCGGACCTTGTTAACACGGGCGACGTCCGAACCAGTATGGCTCTTGTATTTGCGGTTTCACTCATCCCTGAGGTAGGCCACTAAGCACAAAGGACCTTGACATGTATCAAAGAGTAAGGCAGGTCCTGAAAAGTCAGCTGAATGGGAAAAACAAGATCCAAACCATCAACACATATGCCCTGCCAGTCATCAGATACCCCGCTGGTATAATAAACTGGCCAAAAGAGGAGATAGAGGCTACAGACATCAAGACGAGAAAGCTCCTCACAATGCATGGAGGGTTCCACCCCAAATCCAGCACCCTGAGACTGTATACCAAGCATAGCGAGGGAGGCCGAGGGCAAGTGAGTGTCAAGACCACTGTCCAGGATGAAACAACTAAGATCCAGGAATACATCAGGAAAATGGCCCCCAAAGACAAATGGCTTGGTGAGTACCTCAGGCAGGAGAAAACCGAAAGTGAGGACAAGAAAGATGAAGGAGAACCATCAGGGAGGGACAAGCCGCTGCACGGCGTGTGCCACAGACAAATAGAAGAAGTGGCTGATATCATAAAATCCTACCAGTGGCTGGAAAAGGCTGGATTGAAGGACAGCACAGAGGCACTAATCATGGCAGCACAAGAACAGGCACTCAGCACAAGATCAATAGAGGCCAGGGTCTACCACACCAGGCAGGACCCCCGATGCAGACTGTGCAAAGATGCCTCTGCATCAATACAGCACATAACAGCAGGGTGTAAAATGCAGGCAGGAAGTGCATACATGGAACGCCACAACCAGGTAGCTGTCATAGTGTACAGGAACATCTGCCATGAGTATGGGCTGAAAGTCCCAAGGTCAAAATGGAAGACACCTCCTAAGGTAGTTGAGAATGACAGAGCTAAGATCCTATGGGACTTCAAGATCCAGACTGACAAACAGGTGATGGCTAACCAACCAGACATCGTGTTGATCGACAAACAGCAGAAGAAGACAGTAGTGATAGATGTGGCAATCCCAAGCGACAGCAACATCAAGAAGAAAGAACACGAGAAGCTTCAGAAATACCAAGGGCTGAAGGAGGAGCTAGAAAAGATGTGGAAAGTAAGAGCAGCAGTGGTGCCAGTGGTAATTGGAGCACTGGGGGCTGTGACCCCCAAACTGGGAGAGTGGCTACAGCAGATTCCAGGTAAAACATCAGAGGTCTCTGTCCAGAAGAGCGCAGTCCTAGGAACAGCTAAGATACTGCGCAGAACCCTCAAACTCCCAGGCCTCCGGTAGAGGACCCGAGCTTGAGGATGACACATACCACCCCACGAGGGGTGAGAAAACAGTTTTATTGTTATTGTTTATATATATATATATATATATATATATATATATATATATATATATATATATGTATATATAGACGTATATATTTATTTATTCCCCACTTTATATTCAACAGGATTTTTATAATGTGATGACCTGGGATGCCAGAGCCACCTCAACTGGCTCCTCTCGAGGTGAAGGAGCAGCGGCTCTACTCTGAGTCCTCCCCGGAGGACTGAGCTCCTCACCCTATCTCTAAGGGAAGGGAAAGCTTCTCAGGGCGAATCTCATCCACCCCTTGAGCCTTGCCACCAAAGAGCTTTTTAACCACCTCAGTGAGCTCATCACCAGAGATGGGAGAATCTGACCCGGAGCCCCCAGGCTCTGCTTCCTCAATGGAGGATGTGTTGGTGGGATTAAGGAGGTCTTTGAAGTTCTCTGCCCACCGACATATGACGTCCTGAGTTGACGTCAGCAGCACACCACCCCCACTATAATTAGTGTTGGTGCTGCATTGCTTCCCCCTCCTGATACGCCAGATTGTGGACCAGAATTGTCTTTCTCTATGGCCTCTCCGAACTCTTCCCACGCTTGAGTTTTGCCTCAGCCACAAGCCGAGCCACATGCCGCTTTGACTGCCGGTACACATCAGCTGCTTCTGGAGACCCACAGGTCAATAAAGCCTGATAGGACTCCTTCTTCAGCTTGACAGCTTCCCTTACCGCTGGTGTCCACCAGCGTGTTTGAGGGTTGCCGCTGTGGCATGCACCAACAACCTTGCAGCGACAGTTCTGACTAGCCGCCTCAACAATAGAGGCATGGAACATGG